AAATTGTACACCTCTGTATATAGGTACCATTTGTCAATTAAGGTATCATTTTTACCTCAGCTGAGCCCTCAGCATTGCTCAGTGATTCTCTGTTTAGTAATTCTTGTCTTCTGACTTCCAGATACGTGTTGAACTGTTTCATTTACATGTTCTGTTTCACATGTGTCTTCAATTCAGTAACTAAAATTAAACTCCTCTCTTCCTTCCCCTTCCAGCCCTGACTCTCTTCACGTGTTTCATCACCGTCCACTCATTTGTCTAAGCCTGCATCCCAGGAGTTATCCTTAACTTTTCCTTTTATCTCTCTCCAACATCCATGTAGTCTTCATCTTCAAATCCTGTCAGTTCTACCTTCTAGTTAGGCCAGTTAGTCAAGTTGTTTCTTGCCATTTTAGCTCCTATCATCCCTGCCATTTTAGCTCCTATCATCTTTCATATGGGTTCATGCTGCAGTTTTAAATAGATACCTTGCTTCCTCTCTGGCTTTCTGAAGTACAGATCTGAGTATGTCAGTGCTTTGCTCAAACTCTGTAATGCTTTCCATTGCTATTGGGATTAAAATCAACGTGGCTCATCAGGTTCTTCATGATCTGGCTCCTGCCTGTCTCAGCCTCATCTCCTGCCGCTGATTGCTTTATAGCCATATATAACTTTTTTCAGCTCTTATATGAGCCATGCTTTTTCTTCCCTCTCTAGTTAGGCTTTCTCCTTTCTCTCAACACACTCTTTCTTTGCCCTGTTCCATCCTAGAATATTATGAATCTTCACTAATTTCTTTGTATTGTTTATTCTAGCACTTGTCATTCTTTATTTTAATGGCTAGTTTTATGTCTTTCCCTGTATAGACTATAGATATCTGGAGGACTGGGAATGTCTATATCTTGTTCACTGTTATATTCTGGACTTCTAATGCACACCTGCCATATAGTAGGCCCTCAAATATTTGTTGACTGAATGAATACTTATTTATTTGGATAGGTAGGGGAATATAAACAACTGAGTATCCAAAATTCATTTCTTTGAATTTGAAATGGTGTGCTTATACTTGGACCAAATTATTTAATGATGTATTTGTCTTTTTATTCCCTCCGTGCTCTTTACCAAAAATAATTTAAGATAATGAAAAAAATGTAGGACAGTAAATTGAAACTGAAAGTGAATATTATATATGCAATACAAGCTTTGGTCTTAAGTACTTTTCAAGGTGGCCACAGATCTTTGAAGGGCACTGTGGCAGAGACTACTAGCTGTACAGTGTCTCTTCCTCCCTTCTTTTGAATTAATAGAATACCTCATTCTTTTGCCAGGCATGTGGCTACCTGAATAAAGACTAGATTTACTAGACTCTCTTGCAGCTAGGTGTGGTTAAGTGATTGTATTCTAGGGAGATGTGGTATGTGCAAGACGTGGACAAAATGGGTGGATCTGAAGTACCCATCATCAACCAGAAAGTGATTGTGTGAATGGAGGCAAGTATAACAACAAGATGAAAGGCACCTGAGTCTCTGGCACACCTGTGGACCACTAGCTAATCCTGGAGCGCTGTCTTAGATATTTGCCTGAGAGAGAAATAAATATCTATATTGTTTAAGCCATGGTTATTTGGACGTTAGGCTGTTGCAGCTGAACTTCTTGTACAGCTACCAAAACTTCTTTGACAAATGGATCCTGTACCCTGCTGGGGACTCTTTCCTGCTTTCCTGCTGGGATGCCATTTCCTCTTAGGCAAATGCAAATCACCAGCTTCACTTGAGTTATAAAGGCATCCCAACAAACTGTCTTCTGGTTTCACATCTTCCTAGGGTTTTGGAATGTATGTTATAAAAAGGAAATAAAAGTAAAGGAGCAAGTACATAGAATCAACAAAGAGCTAGAGTAGGAAAAGGGAGGTCCCACTCAGTAAAGAATTAAAAAAAAAAGATATGTCTATTTAAGTCACGTGAAATATCACCTGGATCTAGACATAGTTTGAGGCATATATCTATTTATTTAAAAATTACTCCAACTATCTGCTAATTCAGAAATAACCAGACTGAAAGTCAGCTTTGTCACTCCTCTCAAAATTACAGAACAGACACATCTTAGGGAAAAAAAAACTCTTAGCAACCTGGCTACAGTAATCTAATTCTTAAATTTGTTCTTCAGTAAGTTTCCCTTCATAAATTTTAATGGTATTAAAGATATTTGGTAAATGAAGTTTACTTTTAAATAATATAGGAAATCATAACCATAAAATGGTTTTCAACATATTATTTCATAACACTTTGGCAACAAGTACCAACTTTTTTCTTTTTTTTTCATTATTTCTTAAAGATTGTTATTTATTTATTTTGACAAAGGGAATGCAAGGAGGAGCAGAGGGGGAGTGAGAGGGACAAGCAGATTTCCCTCTGAGTTCAGAGCCTGACTTGGGGCTCAATCCCAGGACCCCAAGATCATAACCTGAGCTTATCCCAGAAACCAACAGTCAGACGCTTAACTGACTCAGCCATCCAGGCATCCCCCAAGTCCCAACTTTTTAAAAGTTCATACACTATAACCTAGACACTCTAGAATTCTTTGGAAGTAGGGAAGAGGGCGATAATTATATTTCCCTGAAATATGAATTTACATTCAGAATGAGATGCTTAAATTTTGAGATAGTCTTTAATATTTTATATCCATTAAAAATAATGTTTTGGAAAAATATTAAATAATATGAAAAAGATAATTGATCAAGATATATTTATTGGGACTGATCGCCAGAATAGAACACAAGGTCTGGTAAAGTAATCTGAATGCATAAATGAACCCAGTGTATATGATAAGGGATTTGGTTGAAATGGTGAGTAAAAGATAGACTATATAAGAAAGAAATGGTGTTGAAGCACCTGGCTAAAATGGGGAAAATGGGAAAAAATGTTGATCCATACCTCACAAAATGTGTTCAAGATAAGTTCAAATGTGTCAGAGAGGTAAATGTAAAAAAAGAAAAAAAAAGAAACAAACAAAAATACCTCAGATTTAGCTAAGACCCTGTTAGTACGCATAATCCATTTAAAAAATTGATGAAAGGGGTGCCCACGTGGCTCAGTCGGTTAAGCATTGAACTCTTGGTTTCGGCTCAGATCATGATCTTGTGGGTGGTGAGACTAAGCCCCAGGTCTGGCTCTGCACTTAGCGGGGGGGTCTGCTTGAAGATTCTCTCCCTCTGCACTCCACCCCCCACTCATGTGTTCTCTCTCTAAAAGAAATAAATAAATCTTAAAAAAATTAGTGAAAATTTTATATAACAAAACTTCTCTGTAGCATTAAAAAACACCATAATCAAAGTCAAGAGACAAATGAAAACTGAGGAAAAATATTTACAGCTGAATCAAAGGCAAAGGACTCGGTTTTCTAATATATAAAGAATTTGTAGAAATCAACAATAAAGAGACAACCCAGTAGGAAGAATTGGCAGAGGATATGGACAAATATGTCACAGACAAGGACATATATATGCCTTAAAAACATGGAAAAATTTAAACCTCAGATACATGAAAGAATGCAAAATAAAACTGCACTGAGATGCCATTTTTCAGATTTCAGTGAATTTTAGAGTTTCTTATCATCTGAATTATCTGAGTGTATATAGACACTTATAGACTGATAAGAATATAAATTGTTTCAGTTTCTATGGAGAGCAATTTATTAATAGGATCAACAGTATACAAATTTATGTTCTTTAAACTACTGGTTTTACTTTTAGAAGTGTATGTTATAATTACATGTGTGAAATGATGTGTACAAGATGGTTAATTGCAGCATTTTTGCAAGAGCAAAAAATTTTAAGCCATGCCCATGTGTAGGAGAATGTTTGAAAATATAATGGTATATTCATGTAATAAAATGTTAAACAGCTGCAATAGAGAATGAGGAAGTTCTTAATGGCTGACATGGAAAGATCTATAAGATAGTTAAATGGAAAAAGCTAGGTTTGGAATCATAAGTATAGTATGTTCCATATGTTGAAAGGAGTTGGGAGGAGAATATATAGTCATATTTGCCTGTATATACATTTAAAAAAATCTCTAGAAGGACATATAAACTGTTAACAGCCTATGTATATGTTCCTGTGTGCATGCACGGAAGGAAGTGTGCAGGTCGGGGCTAGACATAGCTGCCTTTGTGCAGTTAGAAAAAAGAAGAAAAAGGTCCTGGTCCTCAACAACCTCTACATCTTGGCCCTTAAAAAAGATGATTCTAATAAGCTGATTTTGTTAACATCAGGCACTTGGCAGCCATCCACTGGAAATTTTTAATGAAAATAGGTAATACAAGGATTTCTCTTTTGAAAACTCTAGACTAAGCTTTTCATTATATTGAATTACATTTTTTTCTCTAGGAAATTTGACTTAACCTTCAGTTAATTTATGATTATCTGGTAATAATAGTTGTGTACTTGTATTAAAAATACTTGATTTTATTAAGATCACCTTGTAAATTATTCCAGATAAAATTTTTATTTTTCATTGAAAATATGACCCCCAAATATATAATTATATAAAAACACAAGGTTTATTGAAAAAGTAAAATACAAAACTATACATTCAGTATCATTTTTCTTTTACCAAAATTTTATATAGATAGAGATATTAATTTATATCTGTATATGTTATATATAGTTATAAGTATTTACTTACATATATGCATAATATTTATATGTATATGTCATGCATTTATATATAAATTTTTAATGAAATAATAAGTATGTCCTTGTAGGTTTCTGTGTATGTACACGTATGTGTATGTCTTAGGAAAAAGACTAGAAGGAATTAGGGACTTAGACCAAATTGTAGTATCTCATAGTACTCTCTTAGTAGTAAGATTTCAGATGTTTTTAAAAATATTATCTTTATAAGCTTTTGTATTTTTCGACATTTTACAGTGATTATATATTATATTACATTGACAGTAAATGTTTTAATGTTGTTTCTCCAAGAACTTTTACTGAAGCTTTTTTTCTCCTTCATGAAAAGAGTTTTTCAGCTTATATCTTTAATGGATACCGGATTGCCTCAGCGTTCTAATGAGAAAATAGAGCTTGCAATTCTGTGGTTCTTGGATCAGTTTCGGAAAACGTATGTTGGCGATCAACTTCAAAGAACCTCAAAGGTAGGTTTTTACTAGAGATTTTTTTTTAAAAATGTTACCGAAAATGAAGAAAGATGTTCACATATAGTAGTTTTAAGCTGAATGATATATTTAGGTAATTTCTACCTAAGAAATTTAATTGATCAATTGAAATCGATTGATTAATTGGCACTGAAGGCAACGTGAGATTAATTTGCTTGTTTTATGCCTAGATTTACTATTTTCTTTGAAGATTGGCAGAGTTAGTGAATATTTTTTATGTGGCTAGTCATTAAATAATTGAGATTATTTTGAACACTTTAATAGATTTTGCCTTATATTTTTTTCAAGGTTTAAAACAAAAGATTTACTCTTTTAGTAGTTCTGGGATTTTTTGGGCACTTATTTTTGTGGTTTCCAGTAAATTTTTCGCTCATTGCTTGGCATTTTTACATGATAACTGATGAGGATCTGGAGAGCTAGACATGTCTTTGAGAGGCCAGAGTTAAATCACCTTAACATAGAGGACACTCATAGTATGATGATTAAAAGTTTAGCATCAACAAATTTAGATGAATTGATCTTAAGACATAATGAGGGATTAGTGAGGGCATTTATGTGAACCCTAACCGGATATTTAGTAGTACTTGTGACACTGAGTAAGATCTATGAGGTTTTCTTCTTCTGAAATAGTAACTCTTTCCAAGCCTTCTCTGTAAGAAGTCCTAAGGATAGTCTTATCTCCTTTGGATTTATAGCTTCTGTTAGTAACGTTGAAGGATTTCTTACTTGAAATATTTAGAATAAGCTTTTTATATTGAACTGTGCTTTTTTTCCCCATGGGAAATTTAGCATAACCTTCAATACGTTTATGATTTTCTGTTCGTAATAGTTGTACAATAGTGGGAAAAATTTTTGTTTGATTTTGTTAATATCATCCTTTAGTTTATCTTTGCTTTTTAAGAAAATGATATAGCTTGATGCGTCCTTTGTCAAATATATTGTGATATTTTATTGCCATTTCAATAAAATTTTCTTAGAATTTAGGTGCCATTGAACGAGACCATTAGGGAGAAAAAGGAGTAAGTAGAAATAAATGTTTTAGTTTGATAGTAAGACAAATTAGAGTCAGACAAAAATTACATGATATGAAATTTATACAGGGTACCTCTTTCTAAAATCCCAGTTGTGTTACTTGAAGGCTGAGAATAAATCGAATTGTGATAAATTGTCTTATTTTAAATGTACTCAGAGAGTTTGATATTTTGCTTTCACAAAAGTGAATACTCTTCAGACATTACTAATCCAATATTTGTTTGGTCTGGGTCTTAAATCAGAATAGTACAACATGGAGTGAAAAGCCTTCATATTAATTGTATTTAAAATACTTGGAAAATGATATGTAAAATGACGCTAGTTGTTCACAGCAATGGGATTTAGAAATTTTTTTCCAAAATTTTTATTTGTCGTATTAAAAAAAGAAGAAAAAATGTATATGGGAGTTTCAGATATCAAGAAACAGGTCACAGAAAAATACAGACATATTTATATATCTTTTAATACAAGGTAACTGTGGAAAAAAGTAAATTATAGAAGGTCAGTTTTTCTTTTTTGAAAGAGCTTACGTATTAGGAAAAAATGAACATATCATCAGACTGGTGTTGATTCTTTCATTATAATTTAACATTTTTGGTGTATGCACCTAATGCTGTTTTTTTCAAAGAGTGTTTAGTCCTCCAGTGACTTTATTTCTAAGGCATTCCTGCTGCACAGTCCTAAAGGGAAGCCAGAGCTTTCTGCTTTCCTTTTCTCTGGCTTGTCTGCCAATCTGCCTTTATAGGAGCCTCGAGGAGGTTTTTGGGGGGTCCTTGATAACGTGCCCTGGCACTTCTCTAGGAACTCTTCACACTGCTTCTAGTTCTTACAGTAACCCTGCAAAGTTGGTATTATCTTGTTGTTTTGCTTTTTCAAAGTTGGTATTATGGTTCCCATTTTACAAATGAAACAGACCATCTAAGACATTTATTAAGTTCTCTACAACTAGTTTTCTGGCAACCAACCAAGGAAGACCAGATGGAAAATATTTTTTTTGGGGTGAGTATATTGTCACATTCCAAATTGTGGCGAAAAAAGGGGAGAGTGTTAGATACTCGTGGGCAAAAAATATTTAGTGTGCACTTTTTTTTTTAATCAGGAACTGTACTAAACACTCTTAAGCATTATCTCATTTAATTGAATCATACAGAGCATGACTTACAAAGTTCTTCCCAGTCTTTTTTCTACGTATGTCACTAGTTTCATGCTTCAGTCCTTCATACTTGTACTGCATACTTTATGTGTACTAAACTTTTTTTAGCTCCTTCAACACTTTATGTTCTCTGCCGATTCTGGGTCTTTGGACAAAATGTTTCCTCTGCCTAGAACATTATTTATTTAAATCAAATTTCCACCTGCCTTACTCTTCTGACTCCTACTTTATCTTTCACATCAGATACCCTATCCTTTAGGATGATCTCCTTAAATTCTGGAAGAGTGCCTTTTTCTCTGCGTTCTCTAGCACCCTATTTTAGCATTATTACCCTGCATTGTAATTGTTTGTTAGCAAAACATATATTGACTGTAATTTGGGTTAGGACTGTCTCTGCCTTTTTTATTATCACTTCCAAGTGCCCGGCATATTGCTTTCTGCTAGATAATGGTTGAACGTATTTATTTAGTAGAATTCCATAGGATTTGGGCCTAGATCTCATGCATAATACATTCATGTGATAAAGGCTATGTTCTTGAGTTGGAAAATGATGCTGACTTCAGTGAAATTTTAAAGAAGGTATACTGCTAAGCATCTTGAAATTTTTACATATGCATAATAAGTGCTTCAGGAACCCAGGTGGAATCATTGAGGAATCCTAAGTGATGTATAAAATAGAAATATGTGCTATAAATGAGAAAGAAGAGTCATAAATGGTAGCTGTAGGCATTTATTGAAGAAATAGTCTATGTCCCGGATTTCACATAGCACTTGACAGGCATCTAATTTCACCTCACAGAGACCGGTGGGAATAGTTGTTTTTATTAACACTCTGCCCACCCCTTCTTACAGATTTGGAAACTGAGGTTTGGAATGGTTAATTAATGTGTTTAAGTGGTTGAATCTGGATTTGAACACAGGATACCTGATAACAGAGCCTGTGATGCTGATCACTTTGCTGCATTGCCTCCTGTTGGATCTTTAATATTAAACAGGTCTTTCAGTCTCAGTAGGTCTTACTTAATTTCCTGAAACCCATTCCACCTATTGTCCAGTTTTGAGGAGGAATGACTGTGAACCCAAAATCTCCACTTTGTTCTTACTTCTTATATCTGATCTGTCACCTAATCTTGCTGATTTTATTTTCTTAATATCTCTCAGCTTCACTCTTTTCTCAGGCCCTCAGGTTTTATCCTTATTGGTACTGCTTGTCATTTCTCACTGGACTTCAAAAGTCTTCTGACTGTCCTCTTTGTTTCCTTTTTTGCCTTTTCCCCACTTCAGTCCATTTTCCATACTGCCACCAAAGTCATCTTTCCTTCAGTAGAAAGCCAGAGAGAATAATGTAAGGAACACTCATACACCCACCATACAGCTTTGTCAGATCTGAATGCTTTGCTGTATTTGCTTCAGATCTGTATATTTTTAAATGAAACATTAATGGCCTGTTCTTGCTCTGATTCTGCCCCCAAAGTAACCATTATCCTAAATTTAGTGTTATTTTTATGCATGATTTTCTTCTATTCCCATGTTTCTATGTATTTATAACAAAACATAGCACTGTTAACTTTATAGAAAATTAGTATGCAGAAACTTGCCGTTTTTGATCAACATTATTTTTGAGATTTATCCATGGTGATACATATAGTCCTAATTTATTTTAGTTATTGAATGGTATTACAATATATTACTCTGCCATTACATACTTGTTTTTCTGTTAATATATGTTAGATTGTTTCCAGTTTTAAAGATTATAGAAAATCCTGCAGTAAACATCCTAATACCTTTTCCTCATTCATGTGTATGAGTGTCTTGAAGGTAAATACTGGGAGTGGAATTGCTGGGCTGTAGACTACATATCTTCAGCTTTACAAGATATTATCAAGTTGCCCTCCTAAGTGTTTGGATAGTTTATTCTCCCTCTCCCAGCACAGTATGTGTTGCCATATGTTGTCTCAATACTTGTTTTTGTCAGACTTTAAAATTTGCAGAATTTCTCTGCTTGAAATTCTTACTGGTTTCTCATTATGTATAAAATAAGCTCCTTATTATTATTATGGTCAGGTTTTTCCTACCTTTGCAACCTTTTCTTTTGCCACTGCATTCTACTATGTGACCTGTTTTGTGTGTGCTACACTTCTTTCCCTCTTGCCTATTCCTACTTATTATCCAATGAATATTAATAAGTAACCACTGCATATTAAGACCAGGGATAAATGGCAAATGGGATGGTCCATCTCTCCACTAAGTTATTAAAGAGGAAGATGGGCAAATGAAAAATAATAAAATTTACCCCCACTTATATATTGAAATGGTATATAAATAAGGAAAAGGCAGACTGTTACATAAAGGATGCTAGACTTTTGGTTATATCTATGTAAAAATTTGGATTATTACTTCACAGCATACAAAAATCAAATCTAAGTTAGTCAGTGAATCTTAGTGTGAAAAGCAGGAGATTGTGATTTAGGGATAGGAAGGATTTTTTTTTAAGGCATAAAAAAGCTCAAACTCTAAATGCAAAGGTTGATTAACTCTACCCATATTAAAAATAAAAATTTCTGCAGCTCAAAATACACAATAAACAAAATAAAAAGACAAGCTAGAGATAGGATAAGACCCTATACATGTACCTTAAAGAGAATCAATATTCAGTTATATAAACAATTTCTGTGAATCAATAAGAGAAAAACAGCCTAATAGAAAAATGGGCCAAAGATATGAATAAACAATTTACAAAAGAGGAAATCATAGTTTCTAATCAACATGAAAAAATGTTCGTCCTTTTATGGAC